CCCCAGTACATCGATTGAAATAAATGAAACAGAAAAACTCATTTATATGTATTTTCACTTTATGTTGCAGCCGACAACTTGCCAGTTGGATTTCCACTAATCACTCAGGCCCCAACAACCAAGGTCGTGGAAATGGGCCACAACGCCTTGTTATCTTGCACAGCAGTTGGCTCACCGACCCCCATAATCTCCTGGATCCGCAACATGGTACCCATCAACACATCGAATCCTCGATACGTCGTCCTAGACTCCAGTAAGTAACTACCTCCATTCCATCAACATTTTTATCACCATCTTCTCCTCACATTCGTTTTTTTTCGCTATAACTCTGTGGCCCAGATGCAGCCCGTCATATTTTTCCAAAGTGCGTAAGTCACTGTCAGGTCCGGTTAAACGCGCCACTAGAGGGCTGAAGGGGGGGATACGGCGAGGGATATGCGGCCAGAGTTGATCGAGTGGTCACGCGATACGGCGAACATCCATCGTATCTATCTCGCTTAACACATGTATCTTCTCTGCCACAAACTGCTCCACAACTGTTCACCATCGTATTTTGTCCCTCAATGTTCGTTTATGGTGATCAACACGCTGTCTCGTATACCATTGCCAGCACCGAGCTCTTGTTACTTGTGGCAATGTTGACATCGAGAGCTGATCCTATGCCTCTCTCGATAATTACAAAAAATGATCAAGTGGATAAAGACGATGAGAATGCAACGATGGACGACGAGTTGATCGTTAATTGCGCTCTGTCGATTGGCTGCGATACTTACGCCCCATCCAATTGTATTAATGAACAATGATTGGACAATGGCGTGATCCCAGCCTCTCAAAATTCAACCGTGTCGCTATTAATAATTGAGCACACTCTAGTTCAAGCGTTTAAACAGTACAACGTTGCGCACTTTTCTACTCTAGTTCTATCGCTTGTTTCTCTCTCGCTCTTCACTCTTCAACCTGTGAAGTATGATACTCCATTTGTATACACTGGTCCATACCAGAATTGTCCAGTCCTATTAAACTTTCATCCAACCCCAGAACCCATTCATTTTAATCGCACGGATTCATACGAAAACAACAGGTTACACACTTAAATCTCATTTATTTGGGAGTATATGCTAATTTTCCACCTGGTTATGTTCAACAACCCTTTCCTCTCTCCTCACCACTCATCTGCACGAATAAATATTCATCGTTTCTCACTCCGAAACTGGGATTTCGATAATTTGTTTATTATCCTGGAAAATTTCATTATATTTATAATGCTTATTTGGTTATTATCGAGTGAATTACTCTTATTACCCTATATCCAGAAAATGCATTAACCTAATGCATCTGTTTTCCCGACAAACATTAATTCCCTTTTTCACCTTGTTTATCGATACTATCGGTGGCAATCGATAAGGCATCACGTTCGAAGTCATCACGTAATGGTTGGCACGACATGGGAAATGACACTGAGGGAGGGAAGAAAAAAAATGAAAAAAAGGTCATATATATGTGGAGTACGTGAGCATACTACGATGCATCTGAGTGAGTCTCTTCGCTCGTATTCCGTACAAGCGTTTCTCTATGGACCGCCTATAGGTGCAGTCGTCTCGTTCACCCTCTCCAGCGCCTCCACCCTGCACCCCCCCCCCCCCTCTTGCGGCCCATCGCATGTTCTACGTACCCAACTGAGCCCTCCCCCGTGTACTGATGGTACATGTACGTTAACATATACGCCACGGCAATTTTGCTGGAAATTGTCGTAAAGAAACGCGACGAGGAAACTCGTTCGGTAGTAAAGATGCAGTCGACTGGAAAGCCGATACGCGCGCGTGCGCTTTTATATCATGAAGGGAAAAAAATGAATTAAGAAATAAAAAACAGATGAGAACTGAAATTCAGTTTCAATGAAGGATACGGGGGGAAAAAAGTTGGAGACAAATTACCAAACAAATCGAGTAATCCTGGAACGGAATTTATTTCTAGGTCTTTTTCACCCTATATCAGGGAAAAAATGCGAAACGAATGGTGAATTTTTCTCCACTGGCTCTGGAAAGTTTCCTAAACGTGAGGGTAATTTGTCCTGAAATTGGAAAATTTACTCGGAATTCCATGAAAAATTAGCCCAGCTGGTGTGGTAACATTTCACTTTCGTCAGGAAATAATTTTTCCATCTAGAGATGTGATTTTTTTACCGAACGAATCGCGAAATATCCTTTGCAAAAAGTATTTTTTAGTGAATTACATTTCGCTAAAATTACATTTCCACAATTACCTTTTATATAATAAAATTCGAACTCTGTGTAGAGGGACGTAAAAAAAAGTATTCACTGTTGAAAATTTTCGTCTGAATTTCCCGTGTCAAAAGACGGAAATTTTTATCATGTTTAGTTTTCACTGAAATTTCAGGAACTAGGGAAAGGGCGCGCGCATGAAATGTAGGAGTTTCCAGTTACGCTCAGTCATCATCACAGATGGCTTCATTCGTAATGTTTTTTTCATATTTTCTTATTAGTTTCTCCATATTGGAAATGCAGTCCCTAAACGTATTCCAAACTTTTTCCACTAGGATGAAGATGACGACAGATTTGATACTCCACGGAATGAAAATGGAGAAATATTGGCATTTACATTGGTTATTGAAAGTGAAGATGAATAAAATTGAACAAAAAGATATTTTTTTCTAAAAATGAATATATCAAATTTTCTCATACTTATATATTATTTTTTTTAATAAAATAAAAACAAATAATATTTCTTTATATTGTTTTTCATATACAATAATAATATATATGTATACACACATAATTTTTTGAAATATTCTCTTATTATATATCAGGTATTTAATTTTAGGATGAAAATAATTCTAAATCAAGCACGGCGGAATACATTGCTGACAAAAAACGTTACATTCTTTTTTTAAAAGAGGAATCTTGTCATTGGAGAATCAAATATTCCATGAAAATTCGGAAAAATCGGAAAAATTAAGGGAAATTGAAAATTCATCTCCTTTTGTTTCTGAATATTCACGTTCTATTGAAAATTCAATCAAGGTGGAAAATTTCCGTGTCACTCCCGCTGAAAGCTCATGAATTTCCTTGAATTCTAGCTAAAACTGGAAATTTCATAACCATTTTTCCCCTAAATCGGATTCAATGTCGCTCTCATGAGATTTACTACCATATTTTCCATGAAATTTTGAAAAAATTTCTATCAGCGTGCGTCCCTCGAAGGAGTAATGAAAAATCGAGGATTGATCAAATTTTTATTGGAAGAAAGGACTGCATGAAAGGACAGAAATTTGACGACAAAAGTGCGCATTGTTGGGACTTCTATCAACACAAAAGTGTGTGGTAAAACTTGGATGGTTATTCGTTTTATTCCGCACGGTCGGGCTCTTAATAATTCAAAAGCTCTTCCCCCCCGTTCCTGTCCCCAATTCCATTCCCAACAACACCTTTGCAGTATAACTGTATGAAAACCCCCATGGTATAAGGTGAAAGGGTCGTTGACAAGCGTCTCACGCAGCACACTTTAACTCCATTCGCGTGTCTTCAACGGCCACGGAAAACTTGGTTGTCGTCTCTCCTTCTCCACTTTCCCTATTTCAACTTACATTCTCGCTTATTTGTTATCTCTGTTACACTCTCCTGTATACCCACTGTATCCCATCTTATAAAATATCTAGTGTAATGTATTGTAGAAAGGGATGGTATGTACTAATGTCACTGTTGTGCGTATGTTTTTACCCCTAGTACAGTGCAACGTGAGAAAACATAATGATGGAGGAGGATGTAAAGCGAGGAAAATGGGACAGGTGTATACACATTTTCTTTTTATGTTTCTTTTTTTCCTTATGCTTTGTGTTTCTACCTTTTTTTCTCGAGTTTTTCTTGAAGTTTACTTTTTTTAAAGGAGGGTTTACCTGGTAAAATGTAAGTTTCTGAGGAAAATTTGCAGCAACGTTCGAGAGTAGCTCCACCTGGCCATACCGGGCTCTCGGGGCTGGTCCATCTTCGTCTTTTATCCCGGGCCCCATGGGAGTTGTTTCAGGGCTTACGTGATATAATGCCGAAGCAAAAAGAGAAATTATATCATCGTTATATGGACAAGTGTGTTTTGCAATCCTACGGGAATGGAAACTCACGATTTTCATGGTATTACGACACAGCCATTATAGAGCTTTGATTCACATTGTCCTCCTCCATTAATTCTACTCTCAAATGGAAATGGAAATTTTTAGTGGAGAAACATTACATTGAACAAAATTCAACAAACAAACAAACAGAGATTTATGCTGGAATGAACACCATACACGGAAAAGAAGATTACCAATTTGGTAATCCCCTGAGTACCAAACTGGTATTTATATATGTTTATTTCTCAGAAGCAAAGGTTCTACGCACTGGTGTGAGAGAAAGAATGAGTTCTGCTGAAAAATTATATGTTCCACGGAAGAAATCTTATCTCCTGTTAAATCAATTTAGTTGTAGGCAATGAATAAAACTTCCACCAAAAAATTATATTTTTCGTAGTAGTGATTGTTCTCGTAAAACATTTATATGCCATTCGAGTAAATACATTAGTTCTCCAGAGGATTAGATCAGGCTCCGCTTTTATCAAGTGAATGTTCTTGAGTAGTGTATGTATTTTTCCAGTACACACTTATAACTTCAGTAGCGGAGCGGTAAAACGGTTTTGACTATTGCCAGATTTTGATGAATATCTCAGAATCTAAGGGAGATGACAAAATTTTGCCCATGACCTTTTCTATAGCATTCAATTCGCTCTACAAAAAAGATTATTACTAAAATTTCGTTATCTCCCTTAGATTCGGAGATATTCCGCAAAAACTCCATGGAATAACTGATAATTTTAAGAGACATCTGACATTTTTCTTTCGAAAACTGTGTTATTGGCAAAACTGAATAATTTATAGGGAAATTTTTTTCTCGGTAAGACTATTCTTTCTACGTCAACGGATTCCTTCTGTGGTATAAGGATTGGGTAATTGAAGTCCTTCATGATCGGGATAGATGTTTAGTTAGCTTCATCTGATTACTAATTTAGTAATCATCTTATTACAGTAATGAAACGACCTTAGGAGTTAAACAGAAGAGCGTCATGATGGTCATAAAGACCGAACGGGAGAGCTGAGAATCGATTATAAAGGTCAAATAATCATGAGAGTAAAATAAGAAAAGCTAAAGGGAAAAACGACGGTTATAGAGGTTTAACGTAAGAATGTGCAAAGTAGTTATGAGA